AGTTTCATTTCAACACAACTACAATATCATTTTAATTCAATTCATTTAATAATATTAAATTTAGAATTAGTATGTAAAAATTTATATATTAAAAAATTACAATAAAAAAATACTACGGAGTATTAAACACAAAAACTTCAAATTTAAAAATAATAAGAAAATGTTAATAGAAATAAACAAATAAGAAAGAGTTGGTTCAGGGGCGGATCTAGAAATCTTCGTCAGTGGGGGCAAAAGATTAAAAACCAATGAAATATTTTGAAAAAAATTAATATGAAATATGAAATATAATAAATTAGATAAAAATAATTTGTATAGAAAACACACATATTATAAAACACTCATAGCACTATTAATATTAAAAAAAAAAACAATGTTATAAATAAAAATTCCACAAAATATGAAATATAATCTACTATCTATCTACTATAATATACTAATAAGAGCCCAAGAGAGTTAGGCCTATAATGGGTAGAAAAAATGGCGGTCAAGTTTTTTAATCAAATGAATGGCTCAGATTGATCAGATTTTAATTTTTCCTTAAGATTTACTAATTTATCCTTAATGAATATGATTATCCGTTAACTTTTCCGTTAAATATTATCTTTTTCGTTAATTTATGTTAGTTCACCGTTAACTTACTCATTGATTTCAATAAGAAAGGTCTTAAGTTCGAACCACATTCCAATCAAGGTTGGCATAATTAGTACTCTATTTTACTCTTATTAAATTATATATAATAATTTAGTAGCTACAACAAAAAAATAATACATATACATTTCTTTAATTTAGAATTATGTGTCTACAATGTCTTTATTCAAAAAAATTTATTCATTATCAATAAATTAAATAAGAGAAATAATTTCATTAGTTATATTGTCTTTATTTTTCTCCAATATAAAAATTCTTTATATTCAAATTCATCAATTGATTATATTCGCTACATTGTCCCTACAATGTCTTTATTAAAAAAAATTATTCATTATCAATAAATTAATTAAGAGAAATAATTTTATTAGTTATATTGTCTTTAGATGTTTAGATTAACATGTAAAATGACCTAAGGGTATACATATAATAATAATAATAATAATAATAATAATAATAATAATAATAATAATAATAATAATAATAATAATAATAATAATAATAATAATAATAATAATAATAATAATAATAATAATAATAATAATAATAATAATAATAATAATAATAATTGTTTTTAAAAAATAAAAAATATATAATTAAGCCAATCATATTAACTACTTGGGGGATTTATTGATAAAAAGAGTATTCAAATCACACAACAAATTGAGGTAGGAAACTACCTCGCAATGTCCTTGTTTGGCAATCAGCATTTAGCTCTTCAATATTAGTATATATTTAATATTTTATGCCCTAATTTTTATTTGCTCTCCCTTATGTCCCGTATTTGGTTTCAACCATACCTATACAATTATTTTATTGACAATTATAATCAATCTTGACTATATTATCTTGCATTTGTAAACTTAGAATTACCTATTTAAATACACAAATTCAACATAAAATTATCTATGCATGAACAATTCCAATATAATATTGTCTTGATATATATTTTAAAGTACTTATTTAAAAAAAAAAAAACATTGGGCATTATCTCAATCGCGCAATGCGCGTAAAAAACTAGTTAATTAGATAAAATAGTTCAAATAGAAAACATATTATATATCACTAATATTTAAAAAATGAGATACAAAATTTCAAGATTCACGGTGCAATTTCAAATATATATATATATATATATATATATATATATATATATATATATATATATATATATATATATATATATATATATATCATTCATTTATATTAATAATGAGATATGTAATTTATAATTGACGGTAAATATGTTACCGGAAATATAATATAAGAGTAACGAATAAGAAAGTAACAATAGTTGTATTGCCTTTTGTCTTAGTATCGAAAGTACAGTGTGTCCCTTGCTAGCTGAGGAGAGCCCTATTTATACTTAGAGTCCTAACGGTAACAACATGGGACATAAATGGGGAGCCTAGCCTTTAATTCTCTCTCATCAATGGGGGCTTCAATGCTGACTTCAATGACAGTAAATGTGGCACCTGTTGGAATTCCTAACCGTTGAAGTTCTGCCCGTTGGGTTCCCATGTGATGCTGAGTCAGATGCCCATTTGTAATCCGGGTCGGGTGCCAGCCCTATTATCCTGTCACCAGTCCCCCCTACTCCTGAGTCAACGGATGTGTTTGAGTTGACTTGGGAGTAAGGCTGAATCTATCTTGATCCTGTGTAGAAGATCCTGCTTGATTTAGGATATGCGATTTTATTTTCCAAATCCCTAATTTGTGTCTTCCAAATCCCTGATTTGTGCTTTCCAAATCCTTTCCTGCTTCACTTAACTTTTTTATCTCTGGCTCCTCTCCAATATAAACCCTTGTCTCTGAGCAGTTTGAGAGCACCTCTTGAACAGCTTCTGCCACAGCTCTGTAAGTCTATGTCATTATTATTATTTTACAATTTATTTATGTATTTAATATATATGAATATACATGTCTTGCTCCTTTTTTTTTTTTATTCGAGGCACCGCGCCTCGGCTCGTGGCCGAGGCGCCGCCACGAGATAGCCCCCGGCCAGCTTGTTCCCAATGGTCACCAGGTAATTGCTGGCTTTCTTTCTATATGTAAGGACAAAGGGATAGAACCCACGCTAGATCATTTCCAGGCTCTTTTCATAGTTGGTAGGGCTTCTCAGGAGGGTAAGGGATTTGTCATGATTTCGAGCAGGCCGCATTTCAAACTCTTTGAGGACCGTCCTACTTATAACAAGGATTGGAAACCCAAATATGTCTTTGTCACCCTTGTGGGTCATCCGTCTCCCTTTCGTGTCACGTGGGGATCCCATTTACGTTGCCCTCCTACTCTTGACATGAGTCCTTCCCTCCGCCGAGATGTAGATGATTTACTAGGGGATGGTCTTCTATCTATCGTTGATTATACCACCGAGTGGAAGCTCGCAGGCTTAGGCTTCGTGAGGGCTCATCCGGCTGTTCTTTCACCCACGGGTACTCTTCTGTTACCACTTAGTCTTTATTCATCAACCACTAACTCTAACTTGTCTTCTTTTTATTGCAGGTACCATGTCTTCCTCTTCGAGAACCGGTCGATACTTGTCGCGACAGGATCCCGCCTCCAAGAAGAGCAAGGTAGAGAAGGGTAAGAAGATTCAAGACGAGGCCGCGGAGGTGATGCCGCCTCCGCCGGCACGCACGCCGACTCCATCTAAGGTCGTTGAGCATACGCCTACCCCAACCACGGTCGCCGAAAGGGTGCGTACGCCTACTCCAACCAAGGTTGCCGAGGGGGTGATGCAGCCTCCACCGAGTCGCACACCCACGGCCGTTACCTTTTCCCCTCAACCCCTCGAGGTGCAAGGAGATACTTCCACTGAGTCTAGCTCGCGTGTTCGGACCAACTTGATCCGACTGGGAATGAACGCGCCACCAGGAACGTCGTTAATAAATAAGAGTCTTGATGCGGTTGAGTATGCTGCTCGTATCGCTCCCCCTGCGGACTTGGAACACCTTGTCGCCATGGATGTCAACATGTTGCAAGAGCGTTATCTTAGACACATTTTTGAGGTCAGTTTCTCATATTTATGTTCTCTCTCTGCCCTGGCTTGTCTTACTCCGTCTGTTACTTTCAGGCCCTGCTAGAGGGACAGATCATTCATGCCCAACGACGGCGGGTGACGGACGCGCTCATTGAGGATGTTAAAATTAGGGATGTGGACAACAAGAGCCTGAAGGACCTGCTATCGATTCGAGAAGGGGCTTTGAGCAAGATGGAAGGCGAGCATGGGGCGCTAAAGAAGGAGCACCAAGCGCTGTTGGCCCGGGAGGAGGCTCTGAGCAAACTGGCGAGCGAGCTTGAGGTCCTAAGGAAAGAGCATGGAGCGGTCAAACTTGCCCTAGGGAAGGAGCGGGAGGACCATGAGAGGACTCGTGCTGGCCATGCTGATGCCCTTGGCCGGGTTGTGGAGGCCTTCAAGAGTTCAGCCGAGTTCAAAGAGGACGCGATGCACTATATGAGCACTCCTGAGGCTATTTGGGAATTCCTCAAAACTGGAGCTGGTCAAGAGGCGGTCGAGGCCGCGACATAGGTGGCTTTTAACATTGGGCAGTACACGAAGCAACAAGAGATTTTTTCAGTGCTGAGGGAGAAGGTTCCAAATTTTGACCCCGTGTCCCTTGGCTTGCCTGTAATAGAGAAGAATCCGGATCCTGATGCTGAGAATGAATCCACTGATGATGTTACGGATGCTTGTGAGGATTCTTTGGTGGACGAGTTTCACGGCATCGACACTAGCAACGTCCCCATTGTACCACTTGATCAGATTATGATTGAGGAGCTCTCGGACCATGAGTAGTTCGTAGTCTTGAGATTTTCCCTTGCTTTCTAGCTATGTCTTTGAACAATTTGCTTTCTATGTTTGAACAACTTGCTACCATTTTTAGAATATTCAAATAAACCAGTTACTTCGGAATAAACATGTTGTTATATATATATATATATATATATATATATATATATATATATATATATATTTTTTTTTTTTTGCTTGTTTGCCGAGACGGACTCGGTTGGTCGAGGCGTGCGCCTCGGCCAATCCGTGGCCTAGGCGTGCGCCTCGGCCATGCCTCGGCCATCCGAGCTTCTTTATTTATTTATTTTTTATTTTTATTTTATTTTTATTTTTTTTACAACACGGGCGGACCATGAGAACGAGATATTATTTCAGAAAATTTCGCAAAAGATGATAACGAATTTGTTTTAGTAAATAACATGGACGGACCATGAAAGTAAGATATTATTTCCAAGAATTTTAGCGTGTAGAGCGGACGGACCGCGATTGCCAAGTACTATTTGCAATGATTGCTACTACAGGATTTTTAAGGAAAGTACTTGATCAAATGTTCCGAGTTCTATACCCGATCGATCATTCTTCCCCCTGTAGTTTTTAACTTGTATGTTCCTGGGCGAACGACTTCCTCCATGGCGTAAGGCCCCTCCCACTTCTTTGCGAATTTTCCCCCTTCAAGGGGTTGGCTGGCTTCCCTTCTTCGCAACACAAGGTCGCCGACCTGGAAGTACCGGGGTCGGACTTTTGCGTCGTGGTAGGACTTTAGCTGACGACCGTAGTTCTCCATCTTGCAGAATGCCGCTTCTCTTTTTTCATCCAAGAAGTTCAGATCCACCATTTGGTGGAGTTCATTTTGTTCTGACTCGAACTCCTCCACCCTTCTACTAGGTATGATTACTTCCACCGGGGCCCGAGCTTCGAATCCATAGGCGAGTGCGAACGGGGTTTCCCCGGTGGCCCTTCTTGGTGTCGTGCGATAGGCCCAGAGGATGCCGTCGAGTTCCTTCACCCAGGCTCCGCCAGCCACTTCTAGTTTTTTCTTGAGGTCGTCGAGGATGGTTCTATTCGCATTCTCCACTTGCCCATTCGCCCGAGGATAAGATACCGCCACCCGGCTATGCTTAACGCCCCATCCTGCTAAGAATTCTGAAAATTCTCGTGCCTCGAACTGACGGCCATTGTCTGTGATTACCTGGAGAGGGATACCGAAACGATACAGGATGTTTTTCTCGACAAACCTTTTGCACCTTGTTGCGGTGATGCTCGCCAGGGGGCCTCCACCCATTTCGTGAAATAGTCGATGGCCACAATGATGTACTTCCTGCTTCCAGTCCCCGTGGGAAGGGCCCTTACCAGGTCAATTCCCCATCTCGAAAAAGGAATCGCGGTGCTTACCGGGGTGTAGTTCGTCACAGGTCGACCCGGCAGTGCTTGGAATTCTTGGCACTTGGGACATCGCTTTGTATACTCGGCGCAGTCCCTCAGCATTTTGGGCCAAAAATACCCTTGTAACATGATGTGGCGTGCGATGGTGTACGCCCCTTGGTGCGCGGAGCATACCCCCTCGTGGACCTCTTTTATCACCAACTCCGCTTCATCTGGATATAGACACCTCAGTAACGTGCCGTTGTAAGAGCGTTTGTACAGTTTATCGCCCGAGACAACGTAGCTGGGTGCCCGTAACCTCGTTTCCTTTGCGTCTGCCTCGTCTTGCGGTAGGGTGCCATCTGCCTTGTATCGTTTGATATGATCAATCCAACATGGCTCCCTAGTCTGCACAGGGAAGACCCACGAAACATCGATACTTGAAGTCTCGAGGTCTTCCAGTCGAGCGATCTTCCTAATGTGGCTGGGGACTCCGGTACATAGCTTTGAGAGCATGTCGACGTCGGCGTTCTGCTCTCTCGATACCTGGTGTATCTCGTATCCCTCAAACTCGCGCAGGGTTCTCAACACCGCGTCTCTGTATTTCTGCATGCTTCCTTCGTTGGCTTCATACTCCCCAGACACCTGGCTGACTACCAACTTGGAATCGCATCGAATTCGGACCTTCTCAGCTCGTAGTCCCACCGCCAATCGCAGTCCATTGAGGAGGGCCTCGTACTCGGCCTCATTGTTAGATAATTTGAAGTGGAATCGGATGGCATAGTAGGCGCGGAACCCCTCCGGAGTGACGAGTACTACGCCACCGCCGCAACCTTTGCTGTTCGAAGAGCCGTCTGTGGACAAGGTCCACCACCCTCCATCTTCAGTTTCTACCTGGTCCGTCACTTCCCGAGCTGTGCACTCCACTATAAAGTCTGCAAGAGCTTGGCCTTTGATGGCGGGCCTTGGTTTGAAATCTATGTCAAACTGACTGAGGTGCATGGCCCACCGTGCCATCCTGGCGGAGCTGTTAGTATTCCGGAGGAAGCTCCCCAACGGCTGGTGTGAGAGTACGTGGATGGGTTGAGCTTGGAAGTAGTGAGCCAACCTTTTTGATGAAGTGACTATGGCAAATACTGTCTTCTCCAACACACTGTATCGGAGCTCTGCGTCGTGTAGGGCTTTGCTTACGTAGTAGATGGGACGCTGAGTCCCTCCTTCTTCTTTGACCAACACGGAGCTGATCGCACCCTGTGACACGCCCAAGTACAAAATTAGGGCTTCACCTGCCTCTGGCTTTGCAAGCAGGGGTGGGGACAACAAGTATTTTTTCAACTCCTCGAAGCCCTTTTGACAGTTTGGCGTCCACTCGAACCCTTTGCTCTTTTTCAAGATTTGGAAGAAGGGGAGGGAACGTTCAGCCGATTTAGATAGAAAACGGCCTAAGGCTGCCAGACGCCCGTTGAGTCTCTGGACTTCCTTTATGGACCGCGGAGGCTCCATGTCAAGGATAATCCTTACTTTTTCTGGATTCGGCTCAATGCCGTTCCTAGTGACCATGAAGCCCAAAAATTTGCCCCCATCAACAGCGAAGGTGCATTTTTTTGGGTTCAAGCGCAAATTAAATTTCTTCATAATGGAAAATACCTCGCTGAGATCCTCGGCATGGGAGGTGGCCTTGCGACTTTTGACGATCATGTCGTCCACGTATGCTTCCATGTTTCGTCCCAGTACTGTCTTGAACAGCTTTGCCACCATGCGAGTGTATGTGGCCCCGGCATTCTTCAATCCGAACGACATGACCAAGTAGCAGAATATCCCATCGGGAGTGGTGAAGGCGGTCTTCTCGGCGTCCTCCTCATGCATGGATATCTGATGGTACCCACGGAAGGCGTCCATGAAGCTCATGAGTTCACACCCTGCCGTCTCATCCACCAATTGATCTATATTGGGTAGTGGAAAACGGTCCATAGGGCATGCCTTATTGAGGTCCGTGTAGTCTACGCACATCCTCCACGTTGATCCTTTGGGAGCCAAGACTACGTTGCTCAGCCACTGTGGGTAGTAAATCTCCTTGATGTGCCCTACGTTGAGTAATGCGGTCACCTCATTTTTCACGAACTCTCTTCGTTCTGCCGACATATACCTTTTTCGCTGATGCACTAGTTTTCCGCTAGGGTCGACTGCGAGCTTGTGGGTTATGATCCTTCGATCTATGCCCGGCATGTCCTCTGGTCCCCATGCGAACACCGTGTGAGAACGGCGGATTACATCCACTATCTGGGCCCTTAGCTCTGGGCTTAAGCCTGTGCCGATCTTCACCACTTGGTCTGGTCTGGAGGGATCCAGAACTATATCTTCCGTCTCTGACACGGGCTCGGCACGGGGCCAGGCCTCTTCTTCTTTGAAAATTTTCTCCGCGATCGTGTAGACCTGTAGGTCCTTGCTGCCAATCTTCTTCCATGCCTTCACGTAGCAACTGCGGGCTGCCTGTCGGTCACCTCTGACGACTCCTATTCCATTCGGAGTGGGGAACTTCATACACAAGTGTTCCACCGATACTATGGCCTTGAGGTCCTCCAGTGCTGGCCTCCCGAGTATGATGTTGTGCGCACAGGGGAGTCTTACCACGATGAACTCCATCTCCAGCTTGCGAATGTTGAGGCTCGTGCCTATTTCCACGAGCAGGGTCACCGACCCTTCTGTTTCCACCGAATCCCCAGTAAACCCAGAGAGTGGAGTTCATACCTCTTTGAGCTGGCCTCTGGGTAGCCCTAACTTGGTGAAAGCGTCATAGTACATCACATTAATCGAGCTTCCCGTGTCGACCAAGATGCGATGTACGATCGTATCATTGATATCCATCTTGATCACAAGTGCGACCAGATATCGTATCATTGCTTCTTTCCTTTGGGAAGACTTACCACTTTTCCCACGTACAACTGTCTGCTCCACTTTTTCCTCTCTGTGGGTGTGTCGCCCCCCGCAGGTCCACCATAGATAAAGTGTATGGTGTGTTTCTTTTGTTGTCTGGGCGCTACCTCGGGTTCCTTCTTGCTATCATCCTGCTCAGATATCTGGTCATGTTCTCATTTCTTGGCGTTCGAGGTGGACGGCTCGGCGCCATCCTCCTTCCTCCAGACATTTTTTGGTGGATTTTTTGATGGATCGCGTTGCGGCTGTTGCTGCTGCTTGGATCACTTGACGAAATGCCGGAAGTAGCCCTGCTGGATGAGTTCTTCTATTTGTCTCTTCAGTACGTTACATTCATCCGTGTCGTGTCCGGGTTGCCTATGGAACCTGCAGTACTTTGCTTGGTCTCCTTTTGGGGAGACCTTCATGCACTCTGGTGGGAACTCGACTATTCCCATCTCCTCAGCCTGTTTTAGGATGACGCTGACGGGATGGGTAAGAGGAGTTAGGTTATGCAGGGGAACCAGGCGAGGCCGTTCATGGTCCCGGCCCTTCCCTGCGGCCGGGTGGTTCGAACGTGGTGCCTGGCTGGACGGACCAGCTTTCCCAGGTTTCCCGTTTTTCTTGCAGTCCTCCTCATCTTTCTTTTTCCTGTCGACGTCCTCTGCTTCGGCATAGCGGCTAGCCGTCCTCATCAAATCTTCGTAAGAACGGGGGTGGTGGGCGTTCAGCTGCTTGTGAAAATACCCCGATCTCAAGGCGTGGATGAATATCGGGGTCGCCGCCTTGGAGTCGAAGTCGTAGACATTATTGACTTCCTTTTTCCACTTGATCAGGAAGTCTTTGAGGCTTTCGCCTCTATCTTGCTTTACTACACAGAGGTGAGAGAACGATTTCTTACGCTGTATGCTACCAGAGAAGTATGTCAGGAAGCTTTTGGACAACTCTCCAAAATTTTGGATCGACCCGTCCGGGATGGTGTTGAACCAATCTTGGGCCGTTCCATCCAGGGTGGACAAGAACGCTCGGCACATGATGGCGTCCCCTGCCCCAATCATCACCATAGCAGCCTTGTACCTAGTCATGTGGACACGTGGGTCAGTGGCTCCCGTGTATGCCTTGATGGCGGGTAACCTGAAGTCCCTCGGCAGAGGTACGTCCATGATGCTTGGGGAGAACGGTGCTGCCATTCGTACCTCGGGTTCTGGCGACTGCTCCCGTGCCTCCACCCTTCTTGCTAACTCCTCGATCCTTCTCTGCAGCCTTTCGACCAGGGCTGATTCGTCAGGGTGCCGGCGCGGGGCGGCTGCCGCTCCTCCATGTGTGGGGCTAGTTCATCGATGTGTCATCCATCTGAGTGTCGACGCGGAGCTGGTTCCTCGACGTTTCGTCCATCCAAGTGTCGATGTGGAACCCACTCACCAACGTGTCGTTCGCCCGCTGAGTGCCGACGCGGAGCCGGTTCATCGACGCGTCGCTCCGCCGAGTGTCGACGCGGGGCCGGTTCATCGAAGCGTCGCTCTTCCGAGTGTCGACGCAGGGCTGACTCGTCACCGTGCCGGCGCGGGGCCGGCCCACGAGTCTCGCCCATCCTTTCTGTGGGCGATCTCTCCGCTTCTCTTTCCTCGTGTCGGCGAGGGCCTCTAGCGGAGGACCCCTCGGCACGCGACTCCGGTCTTTGCCGAGCGGGCGCCCCGTGTCCCAACTGTTCTAAGGCAGAGCGGGAGGGCCTGGGCTGCCTTCCGGCCGGTCCACTTCTTTGGGTGCCCTCTCCCGGACCCTCGGTCCTAGTGCGACACCCTGCGTCCCTCGCGACACGGGTCGCGTCCTGGGCATCCACCCTCCGTGGGGATTCTACCTCTATTTCCTGAGGCCGCGGCGGGGGCACTTGGCCTTGTAGTCCCACCGCCACTTGGTTTAGTGCCACCGTCACTGCTTGCTGAATGGCCGCCTGGAGGTTCATGACTTGGTTCGCCCCTCCATTGTGGAGTTGGTCTCGGAGGTCCCCGGGCCTCCCGTTGTTGAGCTGTTCTCGGAGGTCCCCTCCGCGATTGTTGGTGAGTTGGTCCCGGAGGTCACCTGAGGCATTGCCATTGTTCACGTTGCGGGAACCATGGGAGCTGCGGGACACCATTCTTTCAAGCTTGCTGTTGAAAGAGGAATGAGTTGTGTGTGTTGTAGCCTGCTTGAGTATTGGACTCAGGATCTCAATGAAAGCACCAATGACGGTAAATATGTTACCGGAAATATAATATAAGAGTAACGAATAAGAAAGTAACAATAGTTGCATTGCCTTTTGTCTTAGTATCGAAAGTACAGTGTGTCCCTTGCTAGCTGAGGAGAGCCCCATTTATACTTAGAGTCCTAACGGTAACAACATGGGACATAAATGGGGAGCCTAGCCTTTAATTCTCTCTCATCAATGGGGGCTTCAATGCTGGCTTCAATGACAGTAAAGGTGGCACCTATTGGAATTCCTAACCGTTGAAGTTCTGCCCGTTGGGTTCCCATGTGATGCTGAGTCAGATGCCCATTTGTGATCCGGGTCGGGTGCCAGCCCTATTATCCTGTCAATAATAATGTGTTTTCTATTCGAATTATTTTGTCAAATTAATTATATTTCATATTTTGTTATGAATATTTATATAAATTTTTGATGTGTTTTATATTTCGCTCATATCCAACAATATTTATGTATATACTTCGTAGGTGTTTCATTTTTTTTTTACAAATTATCTCTTTTATTTTAATGGTTCGCCCTCCCCAGGGACGGAGGCAAGTGCTTGTCAGGCCCCCCACCCCAAAAATTTGTAATATTATATATGTATTAATTTTTTTTAAAAAAATATTATATATAATTTTAAAATTTTGTTGTTTTTTCAAAATATTTGGCCCCCCTCCACTTAATTAATCTTACAGGTTAAGTTATAAATTTTTTCATCTTCTCAATTTTTTTTCGTTCTCTCCTATTTCAAATTATTTATTCCCTATATTGTTGACTCACATTCAAATTAAACTTCATTTAACCTACTTACTAATTTCTCTCTCTAGAACTATGCATATATGCTGCATATACGTTATAATAAAATAATTGAGTAAATACCAGCCAAGGTCCCTCGAGTTTGGTGGTTTCACCACCTATAGTCCTTAACTTCCATAATTACCATACGTGGTCCTCCGAGTTGCGAGATCTGACCTGCTATCATCCTGCCGTTAGTTTTTCCCGTCTAAGTCGTCAAAAGCAAGGGTAGAAATGTAATTTGGCATATATAAATGTTTTTTAATTTTTACTCTTTGTGCATCATAGTTGAAAAGTTATCTCAGTGCAACGGTGTTGTACTGTTCGTCCGTTGGTGTCGCCGCCGGAATCTGCTGCAATTCAATGGACCGGTGCTATTCCGCCGGCGACGACCTTCCTTCACGGCGAGCCATCAGAATGGCGGCAACAGTAGAAGACCAACAACACCACCATCCCTGTCTCACCTTCTCTTCTCACCCACCGTTCGTCCTTCTCCTTTCCTCTCTTAGCCGGCGAGAAGAAGACGGGAAGCAGCGGATCCTTCGAGAATCGAAGCTACGGCTTCGGGTTGAGCTGAGAGTATTAGAACTGGTTTCAAATTTTACGGTGCGGGGTGGTAGTCAATGAGGAGGCGGCGCTGCGGATTTTACAGTGCGGAATGACACCGGTCCATGAAATTGCAGCGGATTCCAGCGGCGGCACCAATGGAGGAACGGTATTGCGGTACACCATCGCTACAATAATGCCTCATCTTCCTCGTCTCTGTTTTCCTGTTCTTTCTCCACCCCTTTTTAATTCCCCATATATTTTCTTCAAATCCTCCTTTCTTGTTCAACCAATGAGAATCAAATTGGGCGTATGGTGCGTATGGTGGAAATCCTCCTTTCGGATGTACATAATTGTATAAAAAAAAATTAATACAAGATTACAAACAGTCTTCTACCTTCTTTCTTGAATTGATTGTGCGTATGGTGGAAATTGAGTGGAGCTTAGCTTCCAGCACAGCGTGGAGGATCTCTCCATCTTTTGCTCTGCGTAATTATTGTTTTGATTATGCAATTCTGATTTTTATATTTGGATTTGAGTTTGATTTCAACTCTCTTACTTTGCCCCTGCAGCCAATTGTTGCAAAACTGGACAATGTGGTGGTAAAGAATGAAGTAGAAGAGGGAAAAGGAGATGAGATTGTTGCAAAGGATGAGAATTATGATTCAAGGAAAAGGAGAAAAGTGGGGAGTAGTTTGGAGCTTCTCAAAAGGAGGACGGTGCTTTGGAGTTCAATTTTCAATCTGGGCAAATTTGTTGCAAAAAATGGGTTTGGTATGAGCACCCCTTCCTTGTATGTATCATTTTATTATTTTGTGGGTGGACAATTTTTGAACTTTTAATGGATTTCAGGCTAAGATTCGAAGGAGATGATCCAACCATATGTTTGTTTAAATGTTTAATCAAGAACCTGCGCTGCTCTTCTTTGGTTAATTCCAGATCAATTCTCACTATCCCACGGCCGCCATTATATGCCTGAACAGATGGTCAAGAGCATGAAAAAAATATGGAAAATATGGAAGATGCAGCCAATCTGTCAATGCTACAAAAGAGCTAACTAAGGGCCGGAAAAGGGAGTGCAGACTACTGAGATCGTCTTTGGTGATTGAATTATCAAAACAACACAGACTAAATAAACTTTTCAAAAGAAGGATGGAGATGCTTTCGCTGACTAGTCTGACTCCCATATACTCAGCAGTTTCATCTTAGCAAAAGATACCCGATACAGCCTCTCGCCGACTCCTCCTTCTCCGTACAGATAAGGATTGCAGATGATATTGCACCTGCTGGTTTTCTGTTGTTGAAACATTCTAGACAGCACTAATGGAACGAAGTGTTCATTATTATTCCCCTGAGTCTGCCTAGTCCACGTGAGTATTTGCTACATACATATAAGCGTCCATTGTTATTCTGTTGAGTCCGCAGTTGTCCGCGACCGAGGGCCCCAATCCCAGCAGCTACCGCCGACAAAACCGCGAGCTATTGCCACTGCTGAGAGACCGTCGACCACGAACAGCCATGTCACAACAGACTCCTTCTTCTCCAATACAGGGGAGGGGTGGTCCGGTGTCGCCTTCCACGACCACTTCTCACCCGTCGCAACCTCGACGGACAAAATCGATGGAGGAGTCCAAGATAATGATCCGGGAAGAACGGAGGTCGCCGGAGGAGATGAGAGCGTCGCTATATCCGCTGCTTCCCATCTTCTGCTCGCCGGCCGAGAGAGAAATGGAGAAGGACGAACGTGGATGAGAAGAGAAGAAGAGACATGGATGGTGGGGTTGTTGGTCTTCTATTGTTGCCGTCAATCTTAGATGTCAAATTACATTTCTACCCCTACTTTTGACGGCTTTGACGGAAGAAACTAACATGAGGATGATAGCAGGTCAGATCTCGCAACTCGGAGGACCACGTATAGTAATTAAGGAAGTTAGGGATTATAGGTGGTGAAGCCACCAAATTCGAGGGACCTTAGCTGGTATTTACTCTAAAATAATTTGTCATTAACAAAATCTATGCATATTTTTCAAGTTAATTTTTGTTTTTTATTTTTGTTTCTAACTACTTGTTTGGTTAATTTTTGTTTCGTACTCTATTGTTTATCTTAAATAATTGTTTTGTTTGATTCTAAATCATGGATATCAAGGTGCATTTGTTTGGTTAATTATGTAAATTTGTAGTTGTGTGATAAATTTTGTTTATTTAATTTAAAATGCATAATAATGTAACAATTGTGTAGTATATGTATTTGAGAAAACAATTGATATTCTGTTATGTTGTGAAGATGGTTTTTCAAGAAATAATCAATAGTCTTTTAAAAGATGCGTGCATGTTTTCATTCTTTCAACCGTACAAAGCATATTGCAAAATAATTTAATATAGATTCAATTATAAATTATTTATTCTAAACTTTATTGAATTTGTAATATAATGATTATTTTGAGATATGTTAACGGGATATCAATGCATTTGATTTAGTACTTCAATCATAGTTGGCCCCGGCACTATTCCGTCCTGAGTCCGTCCCTGGCCCTCCCCAGATAAAAAAAATTTCTCGACCCGTCCGTGTCACCCGCCTTAAACTCCGAGTTTCTGAATCTTCATTATTAGGAGTGTCTTAATCCTTTTATTTTTATTATTTTAATTACTTTAGTATTGTACAGAACTACAGATTAAAGAATTTAGGGGAAGAAATGACGCCATTAAACGCGAACTGAAAAGGTTGGAGTTTGATATATTACAACCTCTTGAAAATGAACTCACGTAGGTTGAGATGGCCGAGTTGGTCTAAGGCGTTACATTAAGGTTCTGGTCCGAAAGGGCGTGGGTTTAAATTCCACTCTGTGAAGATTCTACCAAGGTGAGTGCTTACATTGTCCTTTAAGCTTTTAGCTAAACCTACTAGACTTATCACGATCTGTCAGTGCACTGGTTCACGACACAATATATACAAATCACAACACATATACATCTTATTAAGACAAGATATACAAAATCACAACACATACACATGTTACAAATTTATACTCTTTTTTTGTTACTACTCAGTACTTACTCTATTTGAAGTACAAAGAAAAGAATCAATACCAGACAAGATATACAAAATCACAACATACACATGTTACAAATTCATACTCTTTTTTTTTTTTTTTTTGTTACTACTCACTCTATTTGAAGCACAAAGAAAAGAATCAATACCAAATACTATCTGACAAATTATGCTGTGGACACGAGTCCAAAATGACGTCGTTTCAAGGGAAAACGCAGCCTTTCAGTTAAAAATAATAATTTGATTTTGTCTCGCCGTTAAAGGCGTTATTCGTTTGTGGCATTATGAATGTACAGTTATGGAATTATGAATGTACAGTTATGCAATTATGAATGTACAATTATGGAATTGAATTATGAATGTAAGTTATGAAATTATGAACACAGAGTTCTAACATTATGAACTTACAATTATGAACATAGAGCTATAAAATTGTGAACATAAAGTTTCAAAAATTGTGAATTTACAGTTGTTGAATTATGAATGTACAGTTATGCAATTATAAATGTACAATTATGCAATTATGAACACAGAGCTCTGACATTATGAACTTACAATTATGAACATATAGTGATAAAATTATGATCATATACTCCTATAACAAAGTGGTCTGAAATTATAAAAAATAATAATAATAAAGTGGAAGAGAACGGTGCCACTAACGGCACCGTTACCGTGTCCAGCATGCATGCTGGACACGGGTCCATAGCATAACGATTGATACTATCTACACTGGGCTCGAACTCATAACTTTCTATATAAGAGAGCAACTTGGCCATCGTTATACCATGCACCGCGGCGCGCATAGCACTGTGCGTCCCACGCTTCCCAAAATGATGTCGTTTTGGTAAGTCATGTAGGGAGTTGACGCGATTATGTGTATTTGTTTATACAATTATGTGCATTTGTTTATACAATTATATGTATTTGTTTATACAATTATGTACATTTTTTATACAATCATGTATATCTTTTTTATACAATTATGTACATCCGAAACAGGAAATTTATGTATATTATGTTAAGAGTTGATGTTTATTATGTTAAAAGTTTATGTATATTATATATTATGTTTAGATTATATGTATTATCTTTTTTTTTTTTAAAAAAAGTATGTATATTTTGTTATACAATTATGTACATTCATGTATACAATTATGTGTATTCTAGTATAACATTATGTACATTTTTAAACATGAGATTTTTTTAAAGAAAAATTAACTACCAAACACTGGGTACGCGAAATTTAAAAAAAAAAAAATTGAAACGACATCGTTTTTCATCTGAGCGCATAATACAACGCGCGCCGTGGTACAGGATATAAATTGCCGCAACTTGGTGCCACTAGACCACAAGATCATTTGCTATAAATTTATACTCTTAAAACACATTATAAATTCACTCTTAAACCACATGTTATAAATTCATTGTTTGTTGCACTCCCTCATTCATGCAAAAATTCATAGTCTTAAGACACATGTTATAAATTTACTCTTAATTTAAGACACATGTTATAAATTCATTGCTTGTTGCACGCCCTCATTCATGCAAGGGTCTTATGCTTATTAGGAAATCAACCTGAACTTATCATAATCTTCTTGTTTTTTTTTTTTTTTTTTTTTTTTTTTTTTTTTTTTTTTTTTGGTTCCAAACCTCCAATTCAGAATTATTTCGAAAGTTGAGAATAATAAATATGTTTTTTTTTAATAATAAAAAAAAAGGTTCAAACTAGAATCGAACCATCACCATAAGGTTCTAATTTGAATTTAAGCTATTCATAAATTGTGAATTATTGGTTTTGTTAAAACCGATCATGTCTAAATATTTTATAAAATCTTTCAGTTTTTGCTTAGTTCGGTTTCGGTTGGATTAGTCGGATATCCGATTATTTCTCGGCTTAAGCAAAATTAAAATAAGTGAAAGAAAACTGTGAAAATCTATTATATATTAATAAGAGCCCAAGAGAGTTAGGCCTATAATGGGTAGAAAAAATGGTGGTTAAATTTTTTAATTAAATGAATATCTCTGATTGATCAAATTTTAATTTTTTTTTAAGATTTCCTAATTTATTTTTAATGAATATGATTATCCATTAACTTTTCCGTTAAATATTATCTTTTCTGTTAATTTCGGTTAGTTCACCGTTAATTTACTCATTGATTTCAATAAGAAAGGTATTAGGTTCGAACCCCATCCCAATCAAAGTTGGCATAATTAATACTATATTTTACTCTTATTACATTAATTAATATAATAATTTAGTAGTTACAACAAAAAATAATACATATGCATTTCTTTAATTTAGAATTATGTGTCTACAATGTCTTTATTCAAAAAAAAAAAAATATTCATTATCAATAAATTAATTAAGAGAAATAATTTTATTAGTTATATTGTCTTTATATTTCTCTAATGTAAAAATTCTTTACATTCAAATTCATCAATTGATTATATTCACTACATTGTCTATTATCTTTTTTGTACACTATTTTTTAATTAAATATCAAAGTTATAATACAAAATAATGCTATATATTTATTTACCAAGTATTTTATTAATACCATGAAAAAATTTTAAAAATAGAATTAATAAATCCATTCATATTAACTACGGGATTTGTTGACAAAGAGAGTATTCAAATCACACAACAAATTGAAATGAGAACTACCTCGCAATGTCCTTGTTTGACAATCAGCAGTTAGCGGTTAGCGTTAGCGGATTATAATAGCAGATTTGACCAGCGAATTATATCAACGATTGGTAAAAAGATACTTGAAAAAATTAGCTGTACCACCCCTAATTTTTAAAACATTTAAAGCTTACGAAATAAAGACGAATCTAACATTAAATCCCAAGTTGAGCATAAACTAAGCATAAGAGTCGGGGGTGCTATGCCACATCTAAGCTAGAGAACTCAGATACACAGGCTAAGCTAACTAAACAAGGCATAAATCCATAAATCCATAACCGAGTACAAGATAAGGCACGCAGGCCAACTAACAATACTAAACTATCTAAGCTAGGTCCTCATGTCCATCTAGCGCACTCCAAAGCTACTGATCTGTACCTGAAAAACATACGGTGTAACAACCGTCAGCGAATAATGCTGGTAACCCACTCCCACGTGTTAAGTACAATATAGGTAGATATAAGGAAACCATTTTGGAACCGGAATACATATATAATCCTAAGCAAACTCTAGCTTTAAAACCAGGATCAAGACTCAAGACTCAATGACAAACAAAACAGTACGAATCATCATAACGATACTAGCATGCGTCCTAATTCGCGAGATAAGATAATCACAAGGCTCAACAATAACAAACAATGACAACAACAAGGCACAACAACAAGCAATGATAACAACAACAACAACATCACAATCTAGCCTTATACCAAGTTCCAACCTTTACTCATCTCCATCCTTATATCAGTTCCAACCTCTACCTCCAGGCCACCCTTGTAACTCCACCCCTTATCCCTCCGGAACACTTCATGGCTCCCCTCCAACATATCTCCAACATGCCACCAATCTGATAGCACCGCAGTACCATTAACACATGATCCCTGCCTCAGCTCTAACACCACTACCAAGGGGTCTTGCATATAGCACGAAGACATGGAACCGCAATGCTTATAACCTGACCCATGCCTTTAGCAAGCAAGTCAAAAGGTGGTTCGTGCCTTTAACACGATAATCGAATGGTCTGGGCCTTTAGCACCATAACCGGGCACTCGTTGTGCCAAACTCCAACAATTCTTTTCCACCAATCACATCTCTTTCTCATCATGTTCAATCAATCAATCAACACACGCACAACAATAGTGGCCACCGCGCAATAGCAACAACAATCAATACACATCAACACATAGCAAGGGGTAATCACAGGGAAGGCACAGTAATCACATAGACTTCTATCAACAAACGACAATATAATAAACACGCAACCCACCAAATACAACCTAAACTCTACTTCCCAAGATAACGAGACACCCATAAGACACACACGGGATCATACAATTCTCATCCTAGGCCAACGGGATACTAACTTAACCCACATGCAATAACCACGACTCACAACTCCTAAAACGGTACCCGAGATATCAAACAAGACTCATAAACATCAAACGGGATACAACGGGGCACGAGGAAATAACAAATGGGGTAAAAAATCACGACGCGCCGCCCCGTACCAGCGGGTGTACGGCGGGTGGTCAACCACCCGCTGGTACGGCGCCCTTGTAGTGGCGGGTGGTCTGGTGGGGGTTCGTCCCCCCACAGACCCCCCCCCCCCACTGGTACGATGGTATCTTGGCATTTTTCCCAACTCGGGAATTCCTCAATTAAACTCAAAACCAAGTCCATTACATCCCAACATACAACAACAACATTAAGGACTTAAACCACACGAATTAAGCCAAGAAACCAACACAATCAAATCCTAAATACATGCTCCTAACATATCAAGATTCAAGAATCAATTCCTAATCATGCAAGAACATCAAGAATCTCAAGAATAACAAGAAACCATATACCAATCCTAAAGACAAGCCCTAGACAAACCCGAACCCAAGATCATGCATATAATCAATTACAGATATCAAGACCAATCAAGGTTATCAAATAAACATAACATAAACCCTAGGCAAAGCTCTATCAAACTCAATCACAGAATCACACATACGATTATCAAAAGAGCCAATAAATAAGATATAGCAAGGAAAATAGGTTTTGTAAGACATGGGTTACCTCTTAGCCTTAATTAATCCTCCCTTGGCTATTAAGGTTCATTTCCAAGATTTCTTCCCGGTTGGTTTCCCTAGGCTTGATGGTGGGGAATTCCTTTTGCTAGGTTTCCCAGTCAATCCGCGTATTTAGAGTTATGAGGGATGAGAGGGTTATAGTTGCTTTCTAATCCCCTATTTATAGAGCTAGGAGTCCTAATTAGAATCTGGGATGTAAAGGCCCACTTTCTTTATTCCTAACAGACTTAAAGTCTTCATTAATTAATTAAGGGAATCCTAACCAACTTAAGTTCTTATTAATTATTTATTAACAGGATTAATTCCATAATTAATCCAGGTTTGGAAGGCCGTAACACGGGGTGTTACACCCTCCCCCCTTACGAGAAACTTCGTCCCCGAAGCTTAGACATAGATTATTTCCCTGGTTTCCGGGCATAGCATAGGGTTGCACGTAATTTTGGAACTCGTTACGCATGATCGTTGTCTACTAGGCACAGTTCATGCTTGGATCAAATCGGAAGATAAGTGAGATTTAAGATTTTAGGTTTAACTTGGTTCCCGGTTCCTGAACTAGAGGCCCCAGAGGTCCCGTGTGCCCTTAGCATGGTTTCAATTGCGGACACTCTTCGGTTTATCGTGCCGACCTCAACCCTCAAAGAGGCAAATCCCTCTTCCATGAGCTGATTCTGCCTCATGAGTAGTGCCACAACACGGTCTTCGATTGTGGTCTCCTCGGTTCTTCCCTGTCCTTGGGTGGGTCCCGCGTTTCTTGGTTCCGTGTCTTCCTCTTCTTGTTCCTCCTGCTCCTCGTCCTCTTGGACTGCTTGTTTCATTTTCTTGTTTGTGATCCCCAACTGGTCAACCAGTAGCCTTTGTTCTTCAGCGGGTTTCATGCAAACCTCCTCGAGGGTGATGTATTGTCCCTCTCCGACATGGTAGATGTCGTTGCGACAGAGGTTTTGAGCGTTGAAGGTCATCCCGCCCATGCGCTTGAATTCGGTCCGGCTTATGTCTATCCCTTTTCTTTCCATAATCCAGCTTAGAATCATCCCGTAGGGTAGGCTGAGCCGATTGCTAGATTTGCAAAACTCCATGTGCTTTAGCATAAGGGCGGGCAAATTGAATTTGATCTTATGTTTAAGTAAGTAGGCAAAGGTGCAATCAAGGCTTCCCACATCCTTACATTTGTTGTTGTTGGACAACAAGCTGTCCGTCACAATCATGACCAGGATTTTCTGTTCGGCGGTTAACAACCTATTGATTGGCATTGCGGCCGAAGTGAAACTGTCTTCCCTTCCCAACAAATAACTCAGATAATCTTTGTACCCCCTATTTCGGGTACCAATCCAAGCCTTCCGGTCATACTCCGATACGCCCGTGGCGGTCAGTTTTAGGAGTTTGGACAAACGGTTTTCAGATAGTGCTATTTCTTTGCCTCGGACTTTGAAAGTGATTTCTAATTTGTCCCCGTGCTTGGTGGCTACCAAGTAGCAGTAAAACTCTTTCACTAGTTCGGGGTATGTATCGTTCTTTATTTCTAAGAACGTTTCCAACAGTCCTTGAAACTTAAGCATATCGACCAATTCTTGAGATAATTGATCGGGTTCAAGTGCTTTACTTCCCAACATCGTGTAATCGGCATTGTTCCATTCCAGAACTCGGGCATTGGTGGGTCTCCTCAGCATCGTTGGAATTTGTGGTTGGGCTTCGTTTTTTCCGACGAAGTTTCCGGCGAGGCTTTCACGGCGAGCGTTTCCGATGTGCAACGACGACGGTGGTGGTTTCCGCGTTCGGTGCGACTGTGGCGGAGGTCTTGGAGTTGGGACGAGGGGATGGCGATGGTCGTGCGGCTGTTGCAACGCGGCAGCGGTGGTGGCGTGGTGTGTCGTTCGGGCGGTCGGTGAGGTTGCGGGAGGTGGTGCGGTGGCAGCGGGCGATTGACGGTTGGCGACTGGGTGGCTGGCGTTCGGTGGCCGGGAGTTCGACGGGTTTGGGGGGTGGTTTTTGGCTGATGGAGAGGGAGAGAGAAGGAGAGAGAATAAAGGGAGGAAGAAGGATTTTTGATTTGGGGATTTGAGAATTTAGGGATTTGAATTGGGGTTCAAGAAGGTTTTGTATCTTTTAAGTTTTAAGAAACATTTGTGGTTTAGTGGTTAAGTTCTTGATCTTGGTGGTGGAAGGTTGAGTGTTCAAATCTTATTAGCTTTACATTAAGTAAGGTTGGAAAAATCCCGATTCTAGATTTGGTGGTAGTATTCTTTAGTTTTATCAAATATTGGTTTGTGGGTTATAAGAGGCATGAATAAATTTCTAATTTAGCCGAAGGGATGGGGTAAGAAGATTAAACTGGTCGAACTAACTAGCTAACTTTATTCAAAACACGAGGATTCCAAATAGTCGAACTAAGTAAGAGGAGGGGTGGTGTACAAGAATTTCATCCGCCCTATCCTAAACAGAATTCTTCTTCCGAGTTTTCCCCCAATTGGTTCGCGGGGTCTCTGCCTCCTAGAGGTACGTCTTCGTTTCCAACCCCGACTTCAGCCTTGGTTTCGATATCAGCTTGGGTGCGACTCATGACAAACACTTTTTCGGGCGCTCCATAGTTCTCTTGGTTATTCGGGTTGTTTGTTTGTCCTCCGAATGGCGGTCTCGTGCTTGCGGGTCGTTGGCACTGGAAGGCCTTGTGGCCGCTTTCCCCGCAATAGAAGCACCGCAAGGCATACCCTTGACAATCCTTGCCCCGATGGTCCTTACCGCATCTCCGACAAAGGAATTGTCCTTCGCTCGTCTCGATGCTCCTCTTCGGCGACCCTTGGGTCTGTTGATTAGTCGCCCTCACGTTGGAATTACTTTTTGCTCTCTTGAAGTTGGGGCCCCCACTTCCGTCATTCTTCCTCCTTACATGTTCCTGAGCCCCACGTTGTAGCAATTGTATTCGATAGAGGTCGGCGGCGCTGGCATAAGCTTCGTTGAGAGTCCTTGGTTTGTTTACCGTCAAGGCTTTCCTTGCCTCAAAGTTGAGTCCGGCCACGAATCTCTCCACTTTAGTTGTCTCCGTGGGCACCAACTCTCGTGCGAAACGAGCCAGTTCTAGGAACCTCTTGTGGTAGGTCCATTACCGTAGAGAGTCCCTGCTTTAGGTGAAGGAGCTCTTCGTATATGGCTGCCCTTAGGTGAGAGGGGTAGAATCGTTCCCGCAACTTAGTCTTTAAGGCTTCCAAGTTGAAATTCGTCTCCTATCTATAGGTAGGGCCTTCATTGACCCACCACAGGTCAGCCTCATGTCCGAAGTAGAATGAGGCCATCTCGACGCGGCGTTCCTCTGAGCATCCTACTACCTCAAAGATCTTGTCGAACGTTCGGATCCATTCCTCGAGTGTTGCAGGGTCTTCTTCTCCTGCGAAAATAGGTGGGCGATGGTTTGACACTTGGCGAGCCACATCATGGCCCCCGGTTGAGGGTGGTCAATTATTGTTGTTTAGGATGGCGCTACTTAGGGTTTGGGCGATTTGAGTTAACTGTTGTAAGTTCTGCTTTATCTGTTCGTGTGCAGGGGGCTCGGGGGTCCTTGTGTGGTTCCTTGTAGGTGACATTCCCAATTCTACAGAGTTAACATTCGTCGTGGATGTAAGTCAAGGGTTGACACACTTACTGGGGTGCCTTAACTATAAGCAGTTTTAAACTAAACACAGGGCAAGTCAAAGGTAAGCTGAGCAGAAAGCGATAAATAAACTCACAATCTCACCGCGCGTCCTAGAATTCCTGAGTCTTAAGTGTTTACACACCTATTGTTAAAGCTAAACATCTTAAGGTCTCGAACTTAGAGTACTATCCTAGGGGCGACCTAGATCCTTAAAGTCTAACTCTTAGCGTCCTAAATGCATAAATACCAAGAGTTCGAGCTTTAACATCCTAAAGTCTTATCTTAAGGACATTGTTCTTAAGGTCGAACTTAGGCTCTGATACCAACTGTAACACCCCTAATAATCAAAACATTTAAAGCTTACGAAATAAAGGCGAATCTAACATTAAATCCCAAGCAGAGCATAAACTAAGCATAAGAGTCGGGGTGCTATGCCACATCTAAGCTAGAGAACTCAGATGCACAAGCTAAGCTAACTAAACGAGGCATAAATCCATAAATCCATAACCGAGTACAAGACAAGGCACGCAGGCCAACTATCAATACTAAACTATCTAAGCTAGGTTCTCATATCCATCTAGCGCATTCCAAAGCTACTGATCTGTACCTGAAAAATATACGCTGTAACAACCGTCAGTGAATAATGCTGGTAACCCACTCACACGCGTTAAGTACAATATAGGTAGATATAAGAAAACCATTTTGGAACCGGAATACATATATAATCCTAAGCAAACTCTAGCTTTAAAACCAAGATAAGACTCAAGACTCAATGACAAGCATAACAGTACGAATCATCATAAAGATACTAGCATGCGTCCTAATTCGCGAGATAAGATAATCACAAGGCTCAACAATAACAAACAATGACAACAACAAGGCACAACAACAAGCAATGAGAACAACAACAACAATATCACAATCCAGCCTTATACCAAGTTCCAACCATTTCTCCTTTCAATCCTTATATCAGTTCCAACCTCTACATCCAGGCACATCCAGGCCACCCTAGTAACTCCACCCCCTATCCCTCTGGAGCACTTCATGGCTCCCCTCCAACATATCACCAACATGCCACCAATCTGATAGCACCGCAGTACCATTAACTCATGATCCGTGCCTCTAGCACCACTACCAAGGGGTCTTGCATATACCACGAAGAGATGACACCACAGCGCTTATAACCTGACCCATGCCTTTAGCAAGCAAGTCAAAGGGTGATCCGTGCCTTTAACACAATAACCGAATGGTCTGGGCCTTTAGCACCATAACCAGGCACTCGTTGTGCCAAACTCCAACAATTCTTTTCCATCTATCACATCTCTTTCTCATCATGTTCAATCAATCAATCAACACACGCACAACAACAGTGGCCATTGCGCAATAGCAACAACAACCAATACACATCAACACATAGCAAGGGGTAATCACAAGGAAGGCACAGTAATCACATAGACTTCTATCAACAAACGACAATATCATAAACACGCAACCCACCAGATACAACCTAAGCTCTACTTCCCAAGATAACGAGACACCCACAAGACACACATGGGATCACACAATTCTCATCCTATGCCAACGGGATACTAACTTAACCCACATGCAATAACCACGGCTCACAACTCCTAAAACGGTACCCGAGATATTGAACGAGACTCATAAACATCAAACGAGACACAACGGGGCACGGGAAACAATAAACGGGGTAAAACATCACGACGCGCCGCCCTGTACCAGCGGGACCACCCGCCGGTACGCAGTTGTGTACCAGCGGGTACACGGCGGGTGGTCAACCACCCGCCGGCCACCCGCTGGTACGACGTCTTTGTACTGGCGGGTGGTCTGGTGGGGGATCGTCCCCCCACTGGTATGATGGTATCTTGGCATTTTTCTCAACTCAGGAATTCCTCAATTAAACCCAAAACCAAGTCGAAATACATCCCAACACACAACAACAACAATACGAACTTAAACCACACGAATTAAGCCAAGAAACCAACCCAATCAAATCCTAAATACATGCTCCTAACATATCAAGATTCAAGAATCAATTCCTAATCATGCAAGAACATCAAGATTCTCAAGAATAACAAGAAACCACATACCAATCCTAAAGACAAGCTCTAGACAAACCCGAACCCAAGATCATGCATATAATCAATTATAGATATCAAGACCAATCAAAATTATCAAATAAACATAACATAAACCCTAGGCAAAGCTCTATCAAGACTCAATCACAGAATCACACATACGATTATCAAATGAGCCAATAAATAAGATATAGCAAGGAAAATAGGTTTTGTAAGACATGAGTTACCTCATAGCCTTAATTAATCATCCCTTGGCTATTAAGGTTCTTTTCCAAGATTTCTTCCCGGTTGGCTTCCCTAGGCTTGGTGGTGGGGAATTCCTTTTGCTAGGTTTCCCAGTCAATCCGCGTATTTAGAGTTATGAGGGATGAGAGGGTTCTAGTTGCTTTCTAATCCCCTATTTATAGAGCTAGGAGTCCTAATTAGAATCTGGGTAGTAAAGACCCACTTTCTTTATTCCTAACAGACTTAAAGTCTTTATTATAAACAAGGGTCCACGGTCCTCCGTCGACCACATTAATTAATTACGGGAATCCTAACCAACTTAAGTTCTTATTAATTATTTATTAACGGGATTAATTTCATAATTAATCCGGGTTTGAAAGGCCGTAACACGGGGTGTTACATTAGCTATTTAGATTAACATGTAAAAGGACCTAAGGGTATTGATGGGGTGTGGACCCCGACCCAAGAAGAATTGGGAAGCCCAAAGAGAATAAGGGGCAGCCCAAGGGAAAGAGTAGAGGCCCAAAAAGTAGTAAAGCCCGAAAGAAACCTGGACCGAGTCAAGGAGCCGGGCCGACCCCAAGGTCGGAACAGGGACTCGGTCGACAGAAGTGACAAAGAGCTGTTGGAAGGCATTTAAGGAGGTATTGAAGAGCCCTGTCAAAAGAGCCGTTGGGAGGCCCAGTAACGGCAGCCCAACGACCCTCAAGTATAATTGAGTAGTCAAATCCTTTAATATGTATTTTAAGTCTGAATTAAAGGAGGGCCTGATATATAAAGGTCCCTCCGAGATTGTAAAAGGGGCGAGTCCATGCCCCAAGAATAGGGACACACGTTCACCAAAATTGTTTGCTCCTTTCTATTTTTAGTAGCTTTATTGAAAGGTATATCCACCAACCAAGGTTGTGTTGGACCTCCCTGGGCCCAAAAACCCTAAAACCAACAGATATGATGATGATGATGATGATGATGATGATGATGATGATGATGATGATGATGATGATGATGATGATGATGATGATGATGATGATGATGATGATGATGATGATAATTGTTTAAAAAAACTTAAAAATATAATTAAGCCAATCATATTAACTACGGGATTTGTTGACAAAAAGAGTATTCAAATCACACAACAAATTGAAGTGGGAAACTACCTCGCAATGTCCTTGTTTGGCAATCAGCAGTTAACTCTTCAATCGTAGTATATATTTAATATTTTATGCTCTAATTTTTATTTGTTCACCCTTATGTCTCGTATTTGGTTTCAACCATACCAAAACAATTATAATATTGACAATTATAATCAATCTTGATTGTATTATCTTGCATTTGTAAACTTAGAATTACATATTTAAATATGCAAATTCAAGATTCAATTATCTATGCATGAACAATTCTAATATAATCTTGCCTTAATATACTTAATTTAAAGTAATTATTTAATAAAAAACATTAGACATTATCACAATCATGCAATGCGCGTAAAAAAACTAGTATAAAGTAAATATAATTAAAATCTAAATCTTAAACTAGTTACTAGTAAAATACTAAAATCTAAATTCTAAAACAAGTGTACATACAAAAGTACACTGTACACATTACAAATGTATAACTTACAAGCAAAAATGTCAAATCAAATTCCAAAAAGGCAAAAACTAGGCAGATTTAATGATTTACACTGTTACAGAGTTACAGAATACAGATCCACATTACATAATACAGATTTACTGATTTACTGATTGACAATCCATCATTCAGAAATCATCAAAAAGAAGCCATCTTAGATTCCTAGTATCATACTTAGGGCTGTTAACGAACCGAACATAAACGAACGGAGGTTGTTCGTGTTCGTTTGTTAAGGAATTTGGAGTGTTCGTGTTCATGTTCGTTTGTTAAGGTTTTTGAAAATCCTGTTCGTGTTCGTTTGTTAAGCGTTCGTTAGTGTTCGTTAACGTTCGCGAACACGTTCACGAACGTGTTCGTTAACGTTAACGAACATGTTCGCGAACGTGTTTGTTAACGTTCGTGAACACATTCGCAAATGTGTTCGTTAACGTTAACAAACACGTTCACGAACATAGTTATTTACGTTCATGAACATGTTCATTAACACTTAATAAACAAAGTAACAAACACATGCATATGTTCATGATCACAATTCGTTCGTGAACAATAAATAATCTACGTTCACGAACAATAATCAAACAAACAACACAACTACAAAACTAATACAAATAACTTAATAAGTCCACTCGTGGCATCTAATATCAAAATAAAAATCCAAGTCCACATAATTTGTCTGCTCACATTACAAGCCAAAACATGGCCAAAACATAAAAACATAAAGCATGATATATTTATATTCTGCATCCATCATCCCAAAAGCTTAATACCTTAACTTCAAGTTCATTCCAGTGATATAGTCTTCACATCTTCAGTAAACTACATTAAATGATATATAATATATTGTTATATAACATAAACAGTATTAAAAATAAATGATATAATAAAAGAATTGACAATACTTACTTTTGGCTTTCTTTTCATATCATATTATTTACGCAACCAATCACTTCCACAAAGTAGCATTTGGACAGTATCGGTCCCTAAAGATGCCCGATATGTATCAATAACCCTACCACCAGCACTAAATGTTGACTCTGAAGCAACCGTTGTGATTGGAATTGATAAGATTTCACATGCCATTTTGGATAATACTCTAAACTTCAAGTTCATTGACTTCCACCAATCCAATGCATTAAATTCAGCAGAATCTCCTTCACAAATATATACACCCTCCTGTATATAATACTCTACACTTTGAGACTTTTGACTGAGAATTTCTTTGATGTTATATAGTTCAGGAAGAAACAAATTTGCTGTTGGATATTCAGAACCTATATTCAAAAAACAAATACGTTAATTATATAACAATCATATATGGAAGTTATAATATAAAGTTTAGAACTGTATAATAAATTACCTGAGATAATTTTAGTAACTTCATTGAAATGCACCAATAAAGAGCTTCAACCTTTTGCCAATCATCCTCAGAAGGCAAGCATTTGTAATTTGGATCTCGAAGTTGATACCGAGGAAATACTTGCTTAAAATCCAAAGCACAAGACAACATAGCAAATGTTGCATTCCACCTAGTGCAACAATCTAAAATCAACTTCTTGTTAGGCACCTAGAGCTGTTTGCAAATCTCATTAAAACTATGCAACCGTTGAGGTGAGGCACTAATATACTTGACACTATCTCTGACATTTTCAATAATAGACTTAATCTCAGAAAGGTCATCTTGCACAAGAATGTTCAATATGTGTGCACAACAACGCACATGAAACAACTTACCATCTAGTGGCAAAGTTGTATGAAAAGAAAGAGAATCATGCAACAACCTCACAACTGAATCATATAGGAAGCATTATCCACCGTGATTGTCCACACTTTCTCTTCAATACCCCATCCTTGCAAGCATTTGTATATTGCATCACAAACACATGTACCGGTATGCGGGGGAAGCACTTCAACAAAGTTTAGAACTCTTTTCTGCAACTTACTGTCCATGTCCACAAAATGAGCAGTTATCACCATGTATTGAATGTTCTGATTTGATGTCCATATGTCAGTTGTGATACTAATTTTGTCAACTGAATTCAACAATCCTTGCACTCGTTTCTTTTCTAGCTCATAAGTTGACCAACAATCTTTTGTGGTTGTTGTTCGACCAATTCGCTCATAATATGGACTTGCAGATTGCATGACTATGTTGAAGAGTTCATACTCAACAAACGAAAATGGCAATTCATGAACCATAATCATGTGAGATATAACCTCCCTCATCCTTGCTTGATCGTACTTCCAACTCTGAACACCACTGACACTCTCCGATTTTTGTGTCGATGGAACCACACAAATGTTCCTTTGCCCTGAAAGATTGATTCTGCGTTTTATGCAATTGTCTAAATGTCTTTTATATTGTGTAGTTGTGCCATCCTTTTGTTTTTTCAATTTAATGTGGCAATGATTGCATTGCACTTTTTCTTCCCCATTCTCAAGTCTCACCACTGTCATTTCCTGCCAAATAACTGATGATTTTTTCCTTTGCTTCTTCTTATAAGGTTCACCTTCTCCTTCCACTTCTTCAACTTCTTTGCCAATGTCTTTATCAACATCCCCTTCAAATCCAATAATTTCCACATTTGGATGATTTAGTGTTGGGTTTAGTTCTTCCATTTCAATAGGTATTGTTGAAGAACCAACACTTGGACTTGAAGGTTCATCAATTGTGTTGTAATCTTCGTAAGACATAGTTATCATACAAACAAGTATTTAAAAAAATGTATACAATATGTTATATTCTTTCTATAATGCAAAAAAAAAAAAATGAAAACAAAAGTTGAGAATACAGAATACTACCACATTGACATAGTACAATATGTTATATTGTTCTTCTTCATCTTGTCCAGTTATCCAACAAGCTCAACAAGAAAATTCAAAGAATAAATAAACACACAAATACAATGTCAAAGTGGCATACTAGTTCTACAGTGAATCTAAACTCAACAATATTAATCTCTAAAAAAAAAAAAAATTACCGTGTGTGTTTTTATAGCTTCGAAGAAGATTGCAGTAGTCACTAGGCAAGCAAGAGATCTGGGAATTAAACAATAGGATTAATTTTCAATAAACAATAATCAAGGTCATTATTAAAACTCAAGCATGAATGCAATTAAATCTCAACCAAACATTTATGAAGATAAGCATCAGATTGTTTAATTAATTCAACCAAATATTTATGAAGATAAGCATCAGATTACCAATTAAAAATCTATTGATTTTTTTTTCACTTTTCATAGTAAATCAGATAGCAATTAAAACTCAACCAAATATTTATGAAGATAAGCATCAGATTACCAATTAAAAATCTATTTGAAATTTTTTTTTTCACTTTTCATAGTAAATCAGATAGCAATTAAAACTCAACCAAACATTTATGAAAATAAGCATCAGATTGAAAAAATAATTTCAATAACAGCTGGCTAGACGTAATCTGTAACTCTGTAAGATGATAGAAAAAAGTACAAACAAAAAAAAAAAAAAAAAAAAAAAAAAAAAAAAAAAAAAAAAACAACAAAAACAAAACAACAGCTGCAAGTCCCTAAAGAAAATCAGATAAATAAAGTAGGTTGAAGGTTGTACAAAAACAAAAAAAAAAAATAATAAAACAAGTCCCTAAAGAATAAGCTGTAAGCATAGAGAAAATAAAACAAGTCCCTACTCCCTAAACAAGATTGAGATAATCATACCTTGAAGGTTGGCCAGCTGTAGCTGTTGTGAATTTCAGAATGGAAGCATGGCTTGGATCCAACAGCTAGTTAGTGTTCTCGGTCGGCGTTCACTTGGATGGTGGCTACGACGGACGGCGGACGGCTGGGCAGGTGGCTACGGTGGACGGCTGGACAGGTGGCTACGGCGGACGGCTGAGCAGGTGGAGGTGTGAGCGGAGAAGCAGGTGGAGGTGTGGCGACTGAGACTGCGAAGATTTGAAAAAGCCCTAGTCCCTAAATTCCTAATGAAAGAACTTATTACTTAATATTATTATATAAATATATATAATAATTAATATATATAATAATTAATATAATATAATATAATATAATATAATATATATGTTTGTGAACATGTTCGCGAACATTATTAAACGAACATAAACGAGCTCGTTCACGAACATTATTAAACGAACATAAACGAGCTTGTTCACGAACATTAGTAAACGAACACAAACGAGCTTGTTCACGATCTCTTAACAAACGAGCTTACAATTGTTCAAGCTCTGTTCGTTTATTAACCGAGCTCTAAATTTTGTTTGTTAATGTTCGTTTACCTTAACAAACGAACATTAACGAACGCTTACCGAACACGAACACGAGTAGTTTGCCGAAAGCTCTGTTCGCTAACACCCCTAATCATACTCTTCTTCCTGTTAAAACTTTGTTAAAATTAGTAAAGGAAATAAATAACAATAATAATTACTTAATAATAAATAAGATTATGAAGTTGGCTCAGTAAGCATTTTGTCCATATCAATGTCTGGATTAAGGACAAATTGCTACAATGCCACCATGAACATTGAGCAACATACCAGCTTAATCCTTATTTCAGATCATAGGTGGAAGCTTCATCATTGCCATAATATAATTTGTCAAATTAATATATCAAAAGATAACATTACTAGATTTACAGCAATGCCAAAGGCAGCAACTTTACCAACTTACAAGTTAGTAAGTTACCCAGCCTCTAAACCGAAGTATAGAACATTACCACTTCACCAGTTCACCATATTTCATAACAGTGTTAGGGGCCAAAAACTCATCAAGGGGGCAAGGGCAGCAAATTATAAGATTCACAATATTAGTTGGAAAGACAACAAATTTAAGATATAAGAATATAAGATATCTGTAGAATGTATATACTGAAGTGTTTATACTAAAAGTTGATGAATGATAAGCTAAGAGAAATTCCCTAACAACCTACTAACACTCCCCCTCAAGTTGGAGCATAAATATCAAACATGCCCAACTTGTTACATATATATAGAATCCGACTCCTACTAAGCCCTTTCGTGAATATGTCAGCCAATTGATCACCGCTTTGAACGTGCACAATAGATATTAGACCTTTTTCCACCTTCTCCCATATAGAATGGCAGTCAACCTCAATATGCTTCATCCGCTCGTGAAAAACTGGATTATTTGCAATATGTATCGCAGCACAATTATCACACCACAAATCTATGGGTAACTTCAATTCCACACCCACTTCATTTAGAATATTATGCACCCAATCTATTTCACTAGCCACATGGGCCATATCCCTGTATTCAGACTCCGCACTTGAACGCGACACCACATTCTGCTTCTTACTCTTCCACGAAACCAAAGTTCCTCCCACAAACATACAATAGCCTGTCACAAACTTTCAGTCACTAGGTGACCCAGCCCAATCTACATCAGAGAACGCCACAACATGCATATACTTGTGGTCAGCGTAAAGAACCCCTTTCCTAGGAGCACCCTTTAGATACTTCACAATTCGAATAACTGCTTCCCAATGAGTTTGCATAGGTGCACTCATGAATTGACTAACCACACCCACTGGATATGCAATATATGGACGGGTAATCGTGAGGTAATTCAACTTTCCTGCTAACTTCCTATATATTTCCGGATCTTTAAATGGCTCCCCTCACCTTCCAACAACTTCACACCCTAATCCATAGGCGTATCACACGGCTTTGATCCAAGTAGCCCCTCTTCACTGAGCAGGTCCAACAAATACTTCCTTTGTGAGAGAAATATGCCCTTTTTGGAGTGTGCAACTTCAATCCCCATAAAGTATTTCAGCACTCCCAGATATTTAGTATGAAACTCAGTTCTAAGAAAGGATTTGAGAACATCGATTCTGCCTACATCACTACTTGTGATTACAATGTCATCTACATACACAATCAACAAAACACACCTGTAGTTAGTATGTTTATAAAAGACAGTGTGATCATACGCACTCCTCTGCATTCCAAACTCAATAGCTGCATTGCCACGCGAAGACTGCCTCACCCCATATAGAGACTTCTTCAGTTTTCACACCTTCCCAAACTCCCCCTAAGCAACAAACCCTGGCGGTTGCTCCATATAGACCTCCTCAAGCAAAAGGTATTCTTTACATCAAGCTGGTACATGGGCCAATGATTAGTAGCTGCCAAAGAAATAAATATGTGCACAAAGGTTAACTT